GGGACGGCGGCGGGGCGGGGCCCGGGGCCGGGGCTCCGGTCAGCATCCCTCCGTGCCACCGTCTCGGCCCCTGGGCCCGGTCCCGAGCGTCTTCCCAGGACCCCCGAGCGGGGCACGGGCAGCACGGACGGCACCCGGCTCCGGGTCTGCGCCTGCCTCGACGTGGCTCTCGGAGCTTCCCGGAGCCGGGGTCTCGGACCGGTGTTGGCGCCGGGCGGGGGAAGAAGGGCCTTGCACGCCAGAGCGGGCTGCAAAAGCCTCCGGGTCACGCGTGCGTGTTGGCACGGGGGGTCTCACGGGCGCAGCGGCCGCTCCCCGGAGCAAACGTCCCCTCCCTGCCCAAGCACAGCCCTCTCGGCTGCGGCGAGACCCGGGAAGGAGTTGGCCCAGGCGCTGTTCCCACGGGACGCCGAGGTCGCGGGCACGGGAGCCGGTTCCCCAAGGGCTTCTCGGGGGGCTGCCCGTGCGTGGCTGCGGGACGAGCTGGGGATGGAGCAGGGCTCAAAGCATGGGACTGGGTGCCCGGACACCGGGGTCCCATCCCCAGGCCGGAGGTCGGGGACACCCTATCTCCCTTCCGCAAGTTTCCACCGACTGATTCGCCCCTTCCTCAGTTTCCCCGCGCTGGGATCTTGTGGGAGGCGATGCCGTTGCGGCCGGGCGGCTTTGAGGGGGCACCACCTGCCCCTGTCCGGAGCTGAACTCACTCCCAATCTCCTTTCCCTTTGACTCCAGCGCATCCCGACCGGCGTGGAGCCCGCAGCGTCGCTCCGCCCAGGCAGGAAGAGTCTCGCGGCGCGGCCCCAGCGTGGTAAGCACCTGCGGGCGGCATTCGCGCGCGTTGGGGAGCCCGCTCGTCATATCTCGCGGCCCTGCCTGCGCTCGTTAGCAGCCGCGCTTCGCCAGTCGTTCCTGGCATTGCAGCGCCGACCTCTTTGGGCTCCAGCGTCTACCCCAGGGCAACGCCCCTCGCAGCGACTCTTCTTGGGCTCGGCCGAACACGTGTGCTGGACGGGCCACGTGAAGCCGCGCTGCCCTGTGGCTGCGGGGAGCTGCGCCCGTGGTGCCAGAAAGAACTTTGCCCTGGGGAAGATAAAGGCTCTCGACTCTGCCCCCGGCGTCTCGTCCTGCTCCGGGCTCGTCCCTGTGCCAGCTGCCCCAGGAAGAGGCAGCCGCGACATGGAGCCGGGCGGTAAACGTGCGCGTGCCGGACCCTGCGTCTGGCTGCGAGGGGTCTAAAGGGCCCCTCCCAGGACGGGGTCGGACTCAGTCGAGCCCTCTTGGTGCGGAGAGGTCCGGGGGCTGCTGTCGCCCGAGCCGCGGGCCTTTGCCAGGGGTTGCCCGTGGCCGGAGCTGACCGGCACGGAGCCTGGCAGAGCTGGGAAGGTGAATGCGGCTGCCGAGCTCCTGGCACGTCTCTGCAAGCCCTGGCCGTGCCCCTGCAACATGTCCCGCAGCGCGGGTTTGGGACGCGCCGTGGCCAATGACATCCCCCCCGGCAGGCAAAGAAGCAGAGATGGGGCCGGGGCCTGGACCACTTGGGCTTGGCCCTGGCTGGGGTGTGGGCTTCTGGACCTGCTAACTTCATTGCAAACCCCCCCGCTCCCGCCAGCCGAGTAACCGCCCGCCTTTCCCCAGGCAGAGGCTGGTTCAGGTTTGCAACCGCCCA